CATTTCTTGTTATATATCTAATTATCTTTATAAATAAATATATTAAATTATCAGCAATTTGGTTTTATCTCTCTAGAGAACCCTGTCCAACACAGCAGACAAAGAGAGAGTTTAAAGGGGAATGTGATTAAATTATAGATGATCTTGTCTCTTGAGACCAGAGATATCCATTATATATTTTGACTGGTCCTACGTTTAGTTATTCTTATTTATGATTAAAGATAAAAATTGATTCACTGATGTGAGTCAAATAGTTCTGGGTTTGGGCTTAGGCCTGATATCCCTGAAAATGTCAAAACTATTTTTTTTCTTAGTTGGTATTTAATACATATATCATATAATTCCATAGTTCAATTATGTCAAGTAAAATGTATATTTGCTACCACAATGTTTCCAGTCATTCTTATTCTAAATGGATTCTTTGATATTGTCTCCCTTTTATCGCACCACCACCCCTGTAGCCCCCCCACATTTTATTATACTTGATATCCCTACATGTTTATCGATCCTGAGTTTCATATACTGAAACACACAAAATCATATAACATAGCTTTCAGAGGGTGGCTTCCATTGACATAACACCTCTGAGATACAATCTAATATGAACAAACAAAAACCAAACAAAACAATACAAAGCAAAAATGTAGAAAATTTGGGAAACCAGATCAGGTCCAGTTCACATCATAGGGTGTAACTACTGACAAAGTTTTAACTCCTTAGGTCAGATTTATGCCTTTGATCTCCTTTACTCCTCTCTCCCAAGCACTCTGTTTAGTGATCACTTTCTTCCCATCCCTCAATTTCAGACAGGGGGAGTTCTCCAGAAGCTTATTTTCTAGGTAGCTCCTCAAATGAATCTTGGCCACTCATTGTCATCCATCACCTGTTGCACACTGAATTCTCACAATTTTGGCCCTGAATCTGATCCCTCCCTTGACTTTGGATTATATGGACTACAATCCCTCAGTGACTGATGATAGTGTCCTTCCATAGGAATTTAGTTGACATCTCACTTAAATGGCCACTTGTTTGAAGACAAGTCTTTAAGACTTCAGATGCTATTTTAGCTGATACCCGAGCACCGTCTAAAATCTTTGCCACATTTTGCTACAGTGCCCATGTCTTCTGTGTTTCTCAGGACGGGAACACGAGTATCAAGCAGGACCATGTGGTAAGAACCAATTGTTCTTAAGTTGGAGCTAGGATTTAGCACAAACCCAAAATCCATTTCTGGATCTATTATGCTTTTTTTCACCTTGCTGTAATTCGGGAGTTAATACATGTGTCATATAATTCCATACGTCAATCGCATCAAGTAGAATTGTACAATTCCTTCCATAATCAGTCACCATACATACTTTTTTTGTTAATCTGGGCATAAGGTCTTATGGATCTAGTGGCAATGGAAGCATATCAATGCTGTCATGGGTCTCCATGGGTCTTCTCCACCTCCAGGGTTGTGGCTTCATCAGTGTAGCATCATGTGGCTTGTCAACAGGAATGTTTTGCAGCAAGAGTGTATGTCCTGGCCCCAGTGAGGAAACAAGAATTTCCAGAGTCCTCGAGAACACCATGCCTACACAGAGGCCTCCTTGGCAATGACCTAATTGATAGGCTAGACTCCATCCCTTTGCTCAAGTTGACAGGAGATTATCTAACTATCACAGACCAACCCTTTTCACTTTTACACAACTCTTTGGCCATATAATTTTTAAACAAAACAATAATAAAACCATATCTGTACCCAACAGGATAAAACTAAAGTTCATAGAATTCAATATGTGCCAGGCTCATTTAAGCATGATATTCTAGAAGTGAACAAAACAAAAAGATTCTATGCCTAACAATTACAGTGAAGTGAATACTACACCATAATCCTATGAACATATTCTCCCACCTCTGAAAGTTTATAAGACATCCACTTCATGCCTTTGTCTGCCCCATTTTGGGTATCCAAATTCTTTGCTGCCCATCTATATCAACCCAATGTTCTGAGGACACTAGCATGTTCTAGATGTGAAAAATCTTCATTCCAATTGGAACCTTGTGAGTCTGAATGTATAGGCAAAGGCAAATAAGGTAAGGCCATCCATAAAGTTAGCAGCAACATGCACCAGTTTACAGACTCAAAAATCTTCTCTTTAGCTGGTTGGGTTCTGATCAGCGGTCAACAGAATGTGGGCTGCCTCACCAAGGTGCCCATTGGCTGCTTTCGACCATGATCCCCATCACAAATTCTCAACAACCCTAGTACACTTGGGCTAGGTCATGAACTTCAGGCTAGTCAACCTGCTCTCATCTTCTCCTCTAGTTCCTGTAAAACAGGTCCATGGGTGTCAGTGTCCAGATTCAACCCGTCTCTTTATTGCTGCATTTATCCCACTTCTATTAAACAAGTGGATCCAGGTGGTCACCTAAGAAGCATTGCAGGCTTCCAGCAGGCTCTCTTTAATGTTCAGTCCTAGAGAGGGGCATTTCTTCATTGTTCCATTTTTTTCCATCCAGCGTCTGGCACAAACCACTAGTTCGAAATTAAGAAAACAAAGGGTTCCCTTCTTTTTCCTACAATCTGTCATCAGCCCTCTAGGAAAGTCTCCTCACCTTCAATTGTCTTGAACACTTAAGCCACTGGGTGGGGTTTATCTGTTCATAGTCTTCTTTGGAGGCATGTCCAAAGCCTTTTAAAGATTCAAATTAATGCTGAAGGCATGTGGGCTTACAAGTTCTCTTTCATAATCCCCAATAATCATTTCTATCAATCATTATATCAATAAAAATAAGCAGAAGAAATCAGTATAAATGTAGTAGAATCAGATCCTAAACTCAAGTCTTAAAACAGTCGAGTTCAATCTTTATATATCTTAACTTAATCCTTATCCAAACTCTCCCCTTGATAGAAAATAAGGCCTTACACCTGACTACATCAAGCCAGGTTGAGGCCTTCTGTCAGCCATTTTCACTAAGCAGCATGGTCTCTGAGAGATTCATTGGGCAATTCCTCCCCCTGTGCTCAAAATATACATTAATCACATTTTTTTTTGTTATTTCAAACAGGAATAACCAAAGACAACCAAAGAAAATAATAAAGAGAATAACTTACCATGTTCTTTCCAGAAAACAACCCAGTAAACTGTGTTGCCATTTCTGACCTCTGGCTAGCCAAAGAAGAAAAACTACCCTGAGGCAGAGGTCAGACAAGCTTCCACTCTCCATCTTCATCATTTGTTTCTCTGGTACCCCACTCCCAAGGTACCGTAATGTGTTAGTCCAGGTAGAAGACCTTATGTATACGTGGCTAGTGTGGATCTCCATCTATCTTCTCCACCTCCAGGGCTCTGGCTCTATCAATGTAGCTCCATGTGGCTTGTTATCAGGAATGTCTCACAGCAAGAGTATATGTCCTGCCTCCAAAGAGGAAGACAGGACTTCCCAGAATCCTCTGGAGAAGGCCATGCCCACACAAAGGCCTCTTTGGTTATGGCCTGATTGACAGGCTAGACTCCACCCTTTTGCTTAAGTTGAAAGGAGGTTATGTAACTGCCATATTTTCTTTCCTAGTCTTCTTGACATCATCTCCCTCTTATCCCCCCCACATTTCTATGTCCCCCCTCACCCTGAAACCCTTGTTATATTTGCTTTCCCTATAGGCTCAATGTACCTAGGCTTAATTTACAAAACAAAAAAAAACAGGGAAAGAAATAACACACCTTCAAAACTATTTTATTACCAGACACTGTCCTATTTCTTGTACCATACTCGCTCCCTAATTCTAACATATGTTAGAAGACTTGTATTGCTGAATAACTGCTTAGATGTTTCCCCAGAGGTTTCTTGAGAATGGCTACTACTTTTAAGAGGATAACATGTTTGCTCGGTAAATTCTCATCCCAGCACACCATAAATGAAACCATCAGAAGTAATGTTTAATGTTATGGTTTCATAACAAAAATAATAAACAAAACAACAGATTTTAGTATGAGAATATCATGTGGAAACCCTTTAATTATATGTAATGATGAGATGAAATTTTTGCTCCGTGTATATGTGCTAAGGCAGAGAACAAAAATGGTAGAACATTTGTGTTTTTCTAAATCTATTGTGGCACATGTCCTCTGTTGTATATTTTTCATTTTCCTCTACATATTTACTCTGTTATGCAAACCTATTTTAAGCATATGACTATAGTTTACATAAAATGGGTGAAAGGTGAAGACAATTTTACAAACAGTTAAAAATGGAGATCATAGCATACAGAACAAAAGAATAAATTAAATTTGTTATAAAATGTCTAGTTCTTGGATAAAAAACTGAGTGAATCAAATTGAAGAATCTGGCTTACTATAATATTAAAAGCAACAATTCTCATTTATCTCCACCACTATTATTAGACTTTTTAATCCTTGTTTAGAGACAATGTCTTTCATTTTAGTTGCCATCAAATCAACGCCAATTCAGAAAGATCTCATTAGCTACAGAGTTGAACTTCTCCAATGGGTTTTCTTAATTGTTATCTTAAAGGAAAATCTCCAGGACTTTTATTTACATGGTACCACTGGGTGGTTTTGACCTATGAAGCTGTGTGTTAGCGTCAATTCTTTGTACCACTGAAATAACTTATTTAAAGACTGGAAAAATCAAACCTTTTAACAGCTTACATTCTATTTGTAATATGTAGTTATTTTCAAATAGTTGCTTATTATATGTATATAAATGTGATTTCATTATATAATGTGTGTTATCCAGGGCTGGGCTAGAGACATAAATCCAGTGACACTCATCCACTTTCATATATCTTCAAATTGACGTAATATTAACCATTTGAAGCACATTTTTTTAGTCTGTTAAGATTGGGTATTTTGATTTGGGATGAAATGCAATAGTATTGTTCCCATTGAAATGAAAATATTATTTTTTAACCATCCACTGCCTCTTTACTTAGCAGCAGACTTGTCAGGAGCAAAGATTAATACATTTAAAAGAAGGTTCTTGTAGATCAATATTTACATTTGTTTGATTGATTGGCATGGGTTGTGCAGTAACCTCTTCAGTGCGTCCTTCACATCCTTGTTCCTGAGGCTATAAATGAGGGGATTCAGCATTGGTATTACTAGGGTATAAAATACCGAAGCCATTTTATCAGTATCTAATGAATGGTTGGTCCTTGGTTGCAAATACATGAAAAGCAGGGTCCCATAAAACACAGTGACTGCCATCATGTGAGAAGCACAGGTGGAAAAGGCTTTTTGTCTCCCCTCTGAGGATTGTATCCTCAAAATGGCCAGGACAATGTTGAAGTAGGATACCAGAACAATAATCATGGAGAAAAACAAATTGGTCCCTGAAAAAGTAAACACTGCTGTTTCTGGAATGTAGGTATCTGAACAAGACAATGCTAACAAAGGGACATTATCGCAGTAGAAATGGTTGATTACATTGGAAGAACAGTAAGACACAGAGAACACACAGGAAGAGACAGTCAGTGCTGTAGTCAAACTGTAGAGGTATGTGAGTGACACTAGCAGAAGGCAGATCTGTCGAGACACCACCATCATGTAGAGCAGGGGGTTACAAATGGCCACATAGCGGTCATAGGCCATCGCTGCCAGCATGAAAATCTCAGCCACAATGAAGACTAAGAATCCACCCAGTTGAGCTGCACAGCCGTAGTAGGAGATGGTTTTCTTCTTAAGCCAGAAATTGACCAGCATTTTTGGAGCAATGACAGTAGAATTGCCAAGGTTGATGATAGCCAAGTGTCGAAGAAAAAAGTACATGGGGGTTTGAAGCCGAGAGTCTACAGAGGTGAGGGTGATGATGCCCAGGTTCCCTGCTACAGTCAACCCATAGATCATCAGAAAGACAAAGAACAGGGGGATCTGGAGTTCTGGACGATGGGAGACTCCCATGAGAATGAACTCAGTTACCCTGGTAAGGTTGTCTAGAGCCATTCCTTGTGTTATTTTTGTCTTTAAACAGGGAAAGCAGAAAAAGATTAATAGTAACATGAATTTTGTTGTTCAAGAGCTACTACTATGTAAAGTTTCATTCACAATCAATTCAGTTTTGTCCACAAGCAGAACATTAAGGTCTTGTTTTTAATTCTCCTCTTTTTTTTCCATATATTTCAGAAACAAAATCTCACTAGAGACCTATTGAGTTTTGTGCTTAGAATTGTTTGTTAAAATTGTTTATTTATTCAACATTTTATATAGTTTCCATATTGAGTTTTAAATATAGATATCATACTGCATATGTATGCATACTTTTCCAATGATATTGGATAAGATATATATTTTATCTTCACTGTTTCCAGCGATAGCAATAACTTTTAAAGCAGTGAAGAGCTGATGAGTTGGAATGACCTCAACCCATCTTCTTAATTAAAGGTCACAGGCTTCCAGTCCATTCCACACCATAGAATCATTCCTGGATATTTTATGTATTTAAATAAATTGTGGAGATCACGTCTGGAGCCCTTTTTTTCCTGTAATAGATTCCACCACATTCTTCTGTTGCAGATACCCACTGATAGAGCTACATCTCAATATTGTGACATTTGTAGTTGCAGGAGGCCTAAATTTTTTCTTAACCACATTTTTATTCTTCTACGAAATATCCCAGATCAATCACTAACTTGTTCACAGATTGTTCTCTATGATTCATTTTACCGACTTGCTTTCATTTTCTACTATATCCTTCTTTTACTTGATCTGTATGGAATTTAGTTTTTTGGTTCATTTTTTCACTAATTATGATTTTGATTGATTACATGTTATCATTGTACTCTTAAAAAAATGAGTAGGCTAAAATGCTACAATCTTCTCCGTGCCCATTATGTGTGACTTCAAGTTTTTGTTAATTGCTCTCTGGTAGATTCCTACTCTTGGTGATCCCCCACTTGTCAAGTAGGACCACTCCATAGGCTTTCAAATCAGGATAGATTGCTAGGTCTGTCATCCTTGACACGTTTTGAACATTTCAGCCAGTAGTGGAGGACATATTCTTTTGTGCTACCCATAGACTCCCATTATGTTCCCAGAACTAAGATAAATTCTTTGAGATGGCTATCTCATTATTCTGCATTAGAATTTTTGGAGATGTAAAGATTTCCATATCTAAGGAGACAAGTGAATGAGGCTTAATGAAGTTTAGTTACTCAGAATCTACATAGGATATTAATTGGAAAAAGGCTTATGCGAAATGTATAGCTTTAATTCTTTTTTGTGGGGTTGGGGAGGTTGCTGCTGTTAGTGTTTATGCTGTTTTATTCCACCAAATACTAGCTCTGGGCTTTTGATCAAACAATGATATTTTTCCATTTGCAGATTAAATGACATCCTTCACACATACATGTTAATGAGAACAAAGCCCGGTAAGTTATGACTTCAAAAGGGATGTTATCTGTAGCTAATGGTAGTATGATTATTATTTTATTGCCATATTTTACTATTCATTTGCTTTTGAAGAATTTTTATATTTTATGTGTCTGGGTGGATTCCTCTATTTGTTTCTAGTCTTTTTAACATTTTATGTCAGCACTGGCTCCTCCCTGAGGGACAGACAGCAGAGAAATGGGTGAAAGGAGACGTTGGATAGCGTAAGATATGACAAAATAATAATAATTTATTAATTATCCAGGGTTCATGTTGGAGGAGGAAGTGGGGAGAGAGGGGGAAAAATGAGGAGCTGATACCAAGGGCTCAAGTAGAAAGCAAATGTTTTGAGAATGATGATGGCAATAAATGTACAAATGTGCTTGACACAATGGATGGATGTATGGATTGTGATAAGAGTTGTACGAGTCTCCAATAAAATAATTTTTAAAAATTATCCAATTGAAGAGTCTTGCAGTTAAAAGACAAATAGCAAGTGAAACACGGTTCTCTACATATGAAATGAGTGGGGTGCATTGTGCCGAGGGTAAGTGCTCCACAGCTTGTTAAACGTTTGACTTGAAAACCACTAATTCTTGCACTGAAGAGAAAGATGTGGCAGTCTGTTTCCACAGTGAGGAAAAACCTATGCAGCGATTCTACTCTGACCGATAGGTTCACTATGAGTCAGAAATCAATCAAATAGCAATAGCTTGGTTTGGGGGTGTTTTTATTTATTAAGGTGCATGCAAAAACACTTTACCATCATATATTTAATTTTATGTTTCATAACACAATATGTTCATTCACAAACATGATTCTCTGAAATTTGTTCTTGTTCATTTTTTTGTTTTCCATGTAAAGGTACTTTTTCTTAAATTAAATCTGTTTTGATGGACTAATGCACTTGTGTTGTACTAACTCTTCCATGACTATTATCTCCTACCAAGAAATCAAAAGGAATGACAGTTTTATAAACACGCTAAGCTTCCCCTAGAAACCCTGATGGCAACACTCACTCTGATCAAAATATTTTCTCTTTGCTTGCTACACACAGTGCTCCTCAATGCATTCCTCTAAAATATGTTTCATAAACATGACCTTCACAAGAGCTAGAATATCAAAGCCTCAATTATTGATTATCTACTCTGCATTGTATAACTCGATGTGTGTAGGGATTTTGCTTACAGACATTTAATATTCTAATTGAATTTTATCCGCCTTCTGTACTGATGCACAACGGATGGAGAAAGGATTGGAATTACTCTTTTGTGTATATGAGTACATGTCAGAAAATAGTTTCCATAGAACAGCCCCAGATTGTCTCTCTTTCTTTTCTTTAACTGAAGTTTATCTGATTTAGCATTCATCCCTTAAAATGTTATTTTAATTTTCTATCAATAACTTTAATTTTTGAATAGATACTTTTTGTAGATGTATTCACATAATAATTTGTCAGTAAACAAATTTTGGGAACAATATACCTAATGCTAATTCTTTTTTTTTAAGTCACTTTATTGGGAGCTCATACAGCTCTTTTCACAAAATATACATTCATCTATTATGTCAAGCACATTTGTACATTTGCTGCCATCATCATTTTCAAAAAGTTTTCTTTCTACTTAAGCCCTTGGTATCAGTTCCTCATTTTTCCCCTCTCTCCCCCACTCACCCTCCCTCACGAACCCTTGATAATTTATAAATTATTATTATTTTTCCATGTCTTACACTGACCAATGTCTCCCTTCTTTTAATGATCCTTTTTTACTGCCAAAGGTGCCATAATTTTGGATAAAAATGGTATTTCCAGTTAGCTCACACAGCTTTTGAGTGGATTGACAGAGTCTAATTCCATTTCACGTCAATGGAAGTGTGTGGTGGAGGAACTCGCTCTTCAGGAAGAGTTCTCAGTGTCTGCCAGCAACAGAGTCCAACTGTGAGCAGTAGGAAAACCTCTCTTTTCTAGATGATGCAAAATCAGGAAGGGACATAATCTCAATTTTGTTGACGGCAAGTCATTTTGTGGATCTTTCTTGGAACCATTGAATCTCATTTTTCAGAGACACAAAACATGTTTCCTTTAAAGTATAGATCAAAGAACAAACCAAAGCCATTGCTGTCAAGTCAATTCTGACCTACAGTACTCTGTGGAATGGAGAGCAACTGCTCTGTAGCTTGCTGAGGCTGTACTATTTATGGAAGCAGATCTGTCCCTGTCGGAGTTCAAGCTACTGAAATTTCAGTTAGCAGCTGAACCTTTAACCACTGAGCCACCACTGCTCTTATCTGATCTAATGTGCCCTTGAAAACTCTCATCAGTTCCGCATATTCTAGGGCAAAAAGATTTCTCTTCATACCCAGATAATATATACCAAATAGATGGATATTAATTATTTTGTATTTCACTGGAGATTATAACCTTTCAATATATATAGAATGCTTCCCCCTCCCTTTTCTTTTTCCTTTTTAAAAAAAAAATATTTTATTGGGGGCTTGTACAATTCTCATCACAATTCATACATCCATCCATTGTGTCAAGCACATATGCACATTTGTTGCCCTCATCATTCTTAAAACAGTTGCCTCCTGCTCTAACCCCTAATATTAGTTGCTCATTTCCCCCCTCCCTCCCCACTCCCCCTCCATCATAAACCCTTCATAGATCATAAATTATTATAGTTTCATCATAAGTTACCCGGTCCGATGTTTCCTTCCGCCCTCTTCTCTGCTGTCCATCCCCCAGGAAGGAGACAATACTAAGATTCTTGTAATTGGTTCCCCCTTTTTACCCCACATTCCCTTCACCCTCCAGGCATCGCCCCTCTCACCACTGGTCCTGAAGGAGTCATCTATACTGGATTCCCTGAGTTTCCAGTTGCTATCTCTACCAACGTACATCCTCTGATCCAGCCAGATTTGTAAGGTAGATTTGAAATCATGATAGCGGGGGGAGGGGGAAGGAAGCATTAAAGAACTAGAGGAAAGTTATATGTTTCATTGTTGCTACCCTGCACCCTGATTGGCTCGTCTCCTCTGCACAACATAGAATTCTCATTTCTTTGTTCCTTTAACTTGTATGTGAACTGCATGCCTTAATGGCAATCTTTCATTACTACTTTAAACAAAATTCCCAGTTGCTATCTGTGCAAGATACATATACTTAAACATATATATCCACCCCGCACACATACAAATGCATGCATGCATCTGTATTTGATGAAATATCATTATATTCACTGCTTTAGACTGTGACTAAGAATCAACTATATGCTTCATGGTCCCCCACATCATTGCATCTCCTGGACTTGCATCTGCATTGGAATAAATTATGGTACATAAATACTTTCATTATTTTTATATCAAAATGATAATGCTGCAAATATGAGAATGTATCACCTCTATTGTATAAATAGATTAAAATTTCAAAAAAAATGCTCAAAAAATTCCCAAACATGGACATCTACCTAAAGGACATCTACCTACTTGAAATTCTCATTTTATTATCTCAGTGGTGCAACAGACTTTGCATCTCCTCTTTTGTGCTCCAGATGATTCAGGACACAGTCACAGCTCGT